AAGAGTTGAGTGGAGAGGAGAGGGCTGTCTACTGGCGGGGGTTTTCCAGATGAGAGGGGCTGGCTGGCAGGAAGCGGGTCCTGCCTGAGGCCTGCCATTCCCTGGCCTGGGCATCCTTGGAAGGAAAAGGGCTGCGACACTCTTCTCTTGTGACCTGGGGATGGTTCTCTGCATTGTTCCCTGACTTAGTGGAAGTGAAGGGTGTCCAGGGCTTACGATTGGTGAATTGATGGAGATATATCCTTTGGGAAAGGCAGAAGAGTGGAGACTCAGAGTTAAGCTGCCTAGATGCCAATCCTGGCTCCAAAGGTGATCAACCTGCCTGTGCCTCAGTCTTCCCGTCCCTGAGATGGGGATGATAACATCCCACCTAATGAGGTAGTTGCGAGGGATGAATGAGTGAATACACGTGAAGAACGTGGAGCAGGCCTGTACGGAGCAATAGGTGTCTGCTCGGATGATTATCACTGGAAAGGGGAGGTGTTAGCAGGAGTAGGGGAGTGGTTGGGCATTGCGATTAGCCTGTTCTCGTTTGCCCCTGCGCCCTACCAGCCTCACCGTGAGACCCTGGGCAAGTCACTGAAAGTGCTCTGGACCTTGGTATTGCCACTTGTAAGATGGAGCCACTCTCCGCCTCACAGAACTCTGGTGAGGATTAAATGAAATAGTGTGTGCAGAGCTTAGGAGGCCTGGCACATGGCAGATACTCCATAAACTTTTTATTTTAAGGTCCAGGGGGGTGGTCTACCTGGATGTTACCTCTGACCTCTGAAAACCTTAGGACAGGAGAGCAGTGGTCCTCCCTGTACCCATGGTACCCTCTCCTCAGCTATCCTGAGGACCAGGAAGGGAGCTTGAGAAACCTGTAAGGCCATAGGGTAGAATCCAGAAGAGCATGGTCAGCTGGGGAGACTTAGGCATTATGAGCAGAGGGTGCGAGGGAGAGCCTGGCTTGTGCCAAGTCCCCAGCAGGTACGCCTCCCACTACCACGTCCTTGGGAGTGGGCCAGACTAGCTCAAGTTATCTCAGCTCACTGTCTATGCTGTTTACCTTGGATGTTCCCTGGGGGCTGGCAGTACCTGAGGGTGTGGCAAATGGGTTCAAGGACTGGGCTCAGCTCTTGGAACCCTTGGGCTCTCCCCTTCCCTGCTTAGTCAGGCCACAAGGAGGCAGATGTCTCTGAAGAGAAGCAAATGCTGGGGTCTGGCCCTTCCCCATGTGGGGCTTGGCTTAATCATCTTTGCCAGAGTTCAGGATCAGGTACCCGCATATCTATCTTTTTTGCCAGTCACCTCCTGTTGGCATCAGGAGAGGTAGGAAGTGTGTGTGTGTGTGTGTGTGTGTGTGTATGCACGTGTGTGTGTGTGTGTGTGTCTCTTTGCCTGTCTGTCTCTTTGGGTGGACAAACAGGACAGGGCATGAGTAGTACTGGGAAGGGTGAAACTCTGCCAGTCCCACCTTGGTGACCCATCATGCTGCTAAGACCTAGAGTCTGGGCACCTGAATCAGCCCTACTTCAGCCTTCGCTGAGGCTGGGGGTGTTGAGCGTGTCTGGGGAAGAGCTAAAAGTTGCAGAAAACATCCTGTTTGAAAGCAGTGCCTTGCTGTATTTAACCCCTATCGCACCTGCCCCGCCTACACCCCGTCTCCACAGAAAGGGGATCTCAGACACCTGCCTTTGAAGCCATCCCCGGAGGCCAGGTCCCAGAGCTGCCATCCCAGCCCACGCCAGACCATTCCCAGCTCCTCCGAGGCTCCTGCAGCGCGCCAGCTGCCCTGTGGCTCTGCTTCCCCGGGCACCCCTGAAGCCTGGGGGTGGGGCGGTGGGAGCGTCCGGTCTCCCTTAGAAAAAGGCCCTTCCTCCCTCCTGAGGCCTCGCTGTGAGGGAAGGAGGAGAGTCTAGGCAGGAGGCTGTTTCCATGTGCCCACGGACTGGTTGCTGCCCCCATACCTCCCCACTGCTTCTTGCTACTCCCTGCCCCAAAGGAGGGCCGTTCTGGCCGCTGCCCAGCTCCCGCCCCTGCCTCCCTGCCAGCCGCCACACAGCTCTCCTGCCCCCCGCCCAGTCACCCTGTTTTCAGTCCCGGATCTGGGGACTGAAGTCCCTGAAAAGAGCCTCTCGTGTCCACTTGTTGGACTGCCTAGGAGGTCGGCGCCAGGCTTCAGATAAAGCGTTTCCCCTTCTTCATTTCAGTATCTTTTTTGTCTGAAGTGTTGTGACACCTCATAGAGGAGCACCCTTGGGCCCTGCTTACCTGCCCCCTGCTCCATCAGGTAGGTGTTTCCTCATCAGCCACAATTTCCCTGGCTCCCGGTTTTCAAAGGGCAGGGGTGGGTCATGGGAAGGCGGTGGGCAGGGAAGGAAGGGACTGCAGCCAGGAGCTATGCAAACGTGGGCCCGAGTCAGCAGCAGCTGCTGCTGAGACCCCGGGGCATACGGGTGCAGTGGGATCTCTGAGAGGGGCTCAGGAGGGAGGGCCTTGCTGGCTCCCAGCTGGGACCCCAGGGGCCTTCCTGCCTGTGTGGTGTTTCCTGTGCAGCCCCTGACTCCTCTTTCTCTCTCCTGTCATTCCTGGGACTTCCACATAGTCCTGGGCCTCTTCTCTACATCTGGACCCTGGTCCTGGGCACTGGCTTCTTTGTAGCAGCAAATAACCCCAAGCAGGGTTGGGTCTTCTCTCAGCTCCCCTGAGATGGTTCTGTTCACTGAGGGCCTGTGGCTGCTGGATCTAGACTTTCTGTCCAGCATAACCCAGTGCCCAGGCCCTTACCTCCAGGCCCGGAGACGTGCTGATGTCAAGGCAGTACCTCACCCCATTGCAGGACGGCACTGCTGCTGTGCTATGGCACTGGTGTTCCAACTCGCTTGCATCATAACCTCTCCAAATGAGCCCATGTGACGATGCTGAACTCCCGTTGGACTGATTTGATTGATATTTCTTCCCACCCCCCTATTTGAGTCCCCTTTTTTCCACCAAATCCACCAGATGTTTGGGAGCCTGGATGACCCAGACTCTGTAGCAACATCCAGATGACTCAGAGCTGTGACATCTCAGCCGAACAGGGTTAAGCCACAAGCATCCTAGACAGTTTCACCCATTACCCCACAATGATATTGGGCTTCTGGGATCCCTGCCCACATCTTGGATATGTGCCATGTTCTAGAAACCCATAGGAGTGAGCTTGGACTTGGGGTGGTCTATAGGGACAGTGTTGATAGACTCACAGGTACTTTTTCTTTAATTGTTCTTAAATGATGGAATGTTCCACACAGACAGAAGGGCATATAAAACAGAGGTTTTTTGTTTTTGTTTTGTTTTGTTTTGTTTTGGTGGCTGGCATCTATGGGAATCTGAACTCTTGACCTTGGTGTTTTCACATCATGCTCTAACCAACTGAGCTAACCGGCCAGGCCAGAATAGTGTTTTAATAACAATAACAATAATAACAATAATAATAATAAGAAGAAGAAGATGATACCATATGCCTGCCACTCAAAGAAATAGAATTTCGTGGCTACACAATGCCTTTGCATACCACTCCCCCAAGGTCGTCTGTTAATCATTCTTTGTCCTTTTTTTAAGTGTTTCTCTCTCTCTCTCTCTCTCTAGATATAAATATGTGTATTTATATATACACATATATATACACGTTATAGTTTAACAAGTATAAATTTAGCTGTGAAAGGGCTGGGCAACAGTGTCACTATTATCACATAAAAATTCCCAGGAAAAGACAAGCTGAAAGGGCAGGCCCGGGCTCTCCCGCGTCTGCCTGCGACTGGGATTCCCTCTATCCCTCTGGACTGACAATGCCATATCCTTGCTTATCTGCTCTACTTCCTTCTCTTGGCACAGAGCTCTTTTTGAAATTTTTTTAAAAGTAAGTATTTGTTTTGTGCATTTCACAATAGTAATTTCTAGAGATACCACAAGGTTTGGGCTTCTTTGAGCCTCATCAGTGGAGGGGTTGCTGATAGTAGCACCTGCATTGTGGGGGTCCTAATTCATGGCTTTCTCTCTTATTTTTTTTCTGACCAGAGTGGCCATGCTGCCTTGGGTCAAAGGGGCCATTTAAACCTGTAACAATCCCTGTGAAGATTCAGGCAGTATTGGGAGAACTGGGAGGCAGCAGGGTCTGAAAGCATTTGAGGGAGGTCTGGGGAGTTCCGGAAGCCACTCTGAGCCTGACCAGAAGCAGCTGGCAAAGCCAAGGGCCCATTTGCCCAATGGAAGAGTCAAGTCATCTGTGTCCCGGGAAGGGCTTCCCGAAGCTGTTGCATTTTGTCCCTTTGTCCCTTTTCCTCAAATGTGAAACCCATCTCTAGATGACAATGCCTATTTATAAAATCTATCTCTGGAAACAAAATTAGTTGATTGCATATGACTCGCATTATTCAGAAGGACGTTCAAAATAATGTGTTAAATACTATTGCGAAAAAGGGGGGAAAAATTTTTGATTACCTTGGTACCAGGACACCAGGGGCATAAGTCCTGCTAGTCCTGAGCTGGGACTGGAATGACCAGGGCCGTAGTTTGGGCATTTAAGTCCGTTATTCTCCTCACCCTCAGGAAGAGAGGAGCTGAAGGTTTACTCTCTTCACATGAGGTGCTGAAGCTGTTAGAGGGCCCGCCTTGCAAGGTAGAAGCCTGTGACCTGCTGCAGGAGGGGCCGGTGCCAGTGGTGTGCCTACATTCATTCATTTAATCCTTACTCACTCTTGTGAAGTAAAGGAACTCTTTAGATGAGGACAGTGGGGACACAAGAGGCTAAACACCTCACCCAGAGTAGCCTGCAGATGCAGCATTTGAACCCAGGCAGTTTGACTCCAAGCCATGCTCTGAGCTAGCTGAGGTAGGAAGAGCCAAGGAGCGAGGGCCTGGGCCCTGGGGAGCTGCCTGGCTTCGCTGTGCTCCCAAGGGAAGGGCTGATGCACTGGATACAGCTGGCCCTAGAGCTGACTCTGGCTCTGGCCGTGGCCTGCTTGCTGTTCTTACAGGGATGGAGGCGATGGCTGCCAGCACCTCCCTGCCTGACCCTGGTGACTTTGACCGGAATGTGCCCCGGATCTGTGGGGTGTGTGGAGACCGAGCCACAGGCTTTCACTTCAACGCCATGACCTGTGAAGGCTGCAAAGGCTTCTTCAGGTGAGTCTTTCTCCCAGACTGTCCCCAATGGCAAGGGAGGAGAGGAAACAAGATTTTCCCTTGAAGAGAACCCCTGCATTTTTCGTGTCTCCTTCCTTACCATTGTTGTGGAACATGCCAGCTCTCACAGCCACCAGGAGCAACGGGGTCTTGGTGAGGGGTGTCTTCTTCCCTCCTGCCCTCAGTTCCAGCTGTGTCCTCTGACCCTCTCAGAATTGCTTTCTGAGGTCACTCTGTTGGTCTCCATCTTTCCACTCCTCCACAACCCACAGCCCCCTGTGCTGACCCATGGGTCTGTCTTTCCAACATGACCCTCCTCCCCCACTGATGATCACAGCTTCTTAATCCAAGAGACAGGCATGTCTTTGGGGAATCTCAAGAACTTGGCTTCAGAGCTTGCCTTCCCATCCAATCCAAACTTTCTTAGAACTAGGGAAACCGCATCCCTTGTTGGGCCACTGTTCCTGACCTGTGCCCATGGCTTCACCCTGGCTTGCTTGTCCCGGGTCTGAAAGGCAATCTCAGAATGCCCAGGCACTGTCAGGAGTGTTACAGCATTCCTATTTGATCTACCCTTCTTGCATGAGCCCAGGATTACAAGCACAAACAGTGTAGGGAAAGCTCTGGAAAGGCTGAAGGAGTTTCCCATCCAAAGCCAGGAAGGGAGGGTGGGAGAGTGATGGATTACGGGATGGAACTGGGAACCACAAGAAATAAGCATTTGACATATATTTGACAGAGAAAGAGTAGCCTGGAAGAGGGTAGCCAGAAAGAGAGCTTCTGTCTGACAGTCTAGATTGGAGGTGGGTAGAGTGGAGGATGGGGCTCTAACCACAGGGAAGGAGAAAATCATGTCCTGGATGAGGACGCTGAGGCTGGCCTGGTTCTGCCTGAATGGGGGAGCTTGTCTGGCCATGAGGGCAGGGTGATTCCGGGACTCCTGGGCTCTCTGTAAATGCAGGCTCCCGACTCACCTGTCCTCTGCCCCAGGAACCAGCAGGCCTGGAGTTTCATGGCCTTGAGCAATTGCTGGGCAGTGGGGTTTCTGTGGGTGCTAATTGCCTGTTTGGCCTGGCGCAGGTTGCCTGCCTGGCTTCCCAGCAGGCTCTCCCAGCTCGGGGAACCAGATCCACAGCATGGCTGGCTCCAGGTCCTGCTGCTGCATCTCTGTCGATCCTCTGGCCTGAAGCCCACATTTCCTGCAGGATGGGGCTTTCAGGACCTGGGATGTATGTCCCAGGTGCCACCTGAACCCTTTCCTCCCAGGGCCTGGGAATGGGGACACTGCCTTCTGAGTGATGATGGGGAAGGAGTCTGGATGCACACACTGGGCCCTGCTTCCTGTCATGGAGCCACTCAGAAATGTGGAGGCATAATTAACTGCATGTCCTTGCTCCATTACCTTGACTTCTCTATGTTTCAGTTAACTCAACTAACCATGTGCATGTGTTGATATCTGACCCCCTCTACTATATAGAGTTAATATGAGGATCAATGAGATGACATATATAAAAGTGCTTTGAAAAATAAAAAGTACAATATATTATTTGTGAGCCTGATAGGCCACTACTGATGTCCTTAGCGAAATCGTGCCCTAATAAAATAAACGAAAGTCTCTCCAGCCATCCAGCCAGCCACCTTCCTTTTGGTTTTCTTTCATTTGCTCCTTCACAAGATTTGAATGAACATTTATGATCCAGACATTAGTGTAGGAGCTGGCAATATGGAGATCCTCACCATTCTGCAACCAAAATGTCCCCAGCAGCTCTCGGGCTGTTTGGTTAATGCACGGAGCCCCTACCCACAAAACCTCTCCCTCTTCCCAGGCCATGTACCCCCTGAGATCCAGCTCTGGGAAATGGGACCCTTAGGTGGCTGCTTGTTGGATTATGACATACTGGAGGTCAGTTCCTCAGTAGAGTAGCTCTAACTCCTGTGCACCTGTGGTTGCTGCTGTTGGACACACCACTAGGCTTTGAATCCTTGGAAAAGGACCATGTGAGGCATCTGGGTGGAGGGAGGACAGGTCCTGTCATCACCAAGGCCAAGGGTCAGAGATGGCAGAATGGGCAGGAATGGATCATTTGTACATACATGTCAACACAGACCAGGTGTTGCTTGTGGGCACATGATGCTGTCATAACCCTCTCCACAAGACCCCCTGTATAAGTCTGTTTATGTTGCTTATAACAAAATACTTGGAACTGGGTAATTTATAAAGAAAACAAAATTAATTGCATACAGTTTCTGAGGCTGGGAAGTCCAAAGTCCATCTGGTGGTGGCAACAGTGACTCAGCGGTCTCACATTGCAAGATGATAGAAGCAGAAAGAGCAGAGAGAGAGAGACAGACTCTCCTCTTCTTTTAAAACCCTCAGAACCACACCCCTGACCACAATTTTTAATCCATTCACTACTGCACAGTCCTACAATCCAATCACCTCTTCAAGGCTCCACCTTTCTATTACTGTAATAGGATTTCCCACGCTCTTAACAGTCACAGTGGAGGCTGAGTTTCTAATACATAAAACTTGGAAGACAATTCAAGCCTCAGTGAGTTTTGGGGGGACATAATTCAATCCATGACACCCCCTTAGAGTCTGCTGCTGCTGATGGCTACAACCACTGCCTGCAAGGCCTGGCATTATGGGCAGCAGGCGGCTTCTGTCTCATTATCCTATCTTTAGTCTACCTTGTATCTTTACTGTCCCCATCTTGATGACTGAGCCAGGCTGCAATTTCTAAAGGGCCAACATCTCTATTGTTTGGCTTGAATTTTGTTTGATGTATAAACATAAATAAATACACACACACAGAGTTGATCCTTATTATTCATGGATTCTGTATTTGCAAATTTGCTCACATGCAAAAATTTACCAAAATCAATACTTGCAGCACTTTTGTGGTCATTTGTGGTCATATGCAGAGCAGTGAAACATTTGAGTTATCTGATGTGCATGTTCCCAGCTAAGGTCAAACAAGGTGACAATTCTGCCTTCCATCTCAGCTTTCATATTATAAACAAGTATCCTCTTCACGATCTACTTAGAATTTTTTTTTTTTTTGCATTTTTGTGATTTTTGTTGGTGATTTCACTGTTTAAAATGGTTCCCAAGCATGGTGCTAAAGTGCTGTCTAGTGTTCTTAAGCACAAGAAAGACTTGATGTGCCTTCTGGAGAAATTGTG